TGCCATATTTGTCAGGATCTTCACTCTGGAAAGGAGCTTGTTGCTTTCTTGGTTCTTGTCGGTGTATTGGTAAAATATTGTTCTCAAAACTATTTATGCAAATAAATTGTCTCTTTCTTTCTTGCATAAGCAAAGCTAGTTGCTAAAGATAGTGGGGGAAATGCTCTTCAAGGATGGATAAATTTAACTAAATTGTTCCTATTGATAATTAAACTTTTAATTGTCATCGTCACTGGATAAATTTTAACTACTATTTGTTTTCTGCAAAACTAGGTATTCTTGGGTAGTTTTGAACTCGCCATGGGAGGGATACCGTTTGTTATAATGTCAGAGGTGAGGTTCCATTGTTTTCTTTTCTCATTATATTTCTTCCTCTTTTGTAAGTTCACTTTTACTCAGTCTCTCTGACTGTGGTGTAAACTCATAAAAGAATGCATATCCTAAACATGCTGATTCCATGGCTTTTATGTTAGATATTTTCAATTAACATAAAGGTGTCAGCTGGAAGCCTTGTTATGTTAGTGAGCTGGTTTGGTTCTTGGGTAACTGCCTACACCTTTACCTTTCTATTTGACTGGAGCTCAGCAGGTATTGCTTCCTCATTTTCCTTTTAACTTTTTCTCTATATAAAGACAGTGTTAATAATAGTTTCTTAAGATGATCCTTCTTGGCTATATATCCTATCCTGTTTGATCAGGGACATTTTTCATATTTGCTGGCATCTGTGCTGCTGGAACTTTGTTCATTGCAAAGCTTGTGCCAGAGACTAAAGGACGCGCACTAGAAGAAATACAAAATTCCATGACTAGCCAGGAGTAGTCTGCAATCGAGAATTCTGAGAACTTGTTAGTGTTAATAGAAATATAATGTTGTATCTCCACTGCTGTATTTCTATTGAAATTTTTATATAATTATGTAAGTTGATAGTGATCGGCTATGGTTGAACTGTTCTTGAAATCATAAAAACTGTTATGAGAAATATTTAAGATGCAATGGGAGTTCTCTTCTATTGTTTTCTTAAAAAAAGGAAAAAATGGAGACAAAGCTTAGCTCTCTACTAAGAGACAGCTGGGTCTTCTTTTTTTTGTTTGTCTCCCTCTGTCCAAGGCACAAGAGATGGAAGAACGATCTGTGACAAGGTCATTGCTTCATGGCCCAGAAAAGCTAGAGAACAATGATGAATGCAGCAGCCACGAGTATTACGGGGATCCGAGTAGCCAGTCCTCACCTATCACATTAATGGTTGTCTTCAGCACCTTCATTTCCATTGCCCGTTCATATATTTACGGAAGTGTTGTAAGTGCCATTAAACCCTCATTTTCGGTTGGTAGTTTATAGAGGGTGTTTTGAACAAAGATCTTTCTTCAAGTTTAAAAATGGATATGCATACTTTCTTGCCACTGGCAATCTTGACTGTTATTCCTCTTTTATCACCTGAGACAATCGGATTGGTTTGAACAAGTTGATTGTGATGTAGGCAGCATATACATCACCGGTTGAGTCTGAAATTATCTCTGATCTTGACTTGTCTCTGGCAGAAGTAAGTCCTAACTCATTTTTTTTTTTTTCTTTTCTTTTAATTCCATGTTTTCTTCCTTTTCTCTTTCCATCTTGAACAGTAATATATAGTTAGTGAAACGTAAGAAATGAATCCTGAACCCCAAGCCAAATCTTAGACTATGTGAGTAGGTTTTTTCCAGGGAAGTTTGATAGAATTTATGGGAAATGATACACTGAAATTTGAGGACAACTGTGCTGCTGCTGAGTTTCAGACAATATAGAACCAGGAACAGCACAATTTCTTCGTTTGATGCTTTTGTTCTTCCGTTGTTCCCACTTCTTACCATGCAGTATTCGGTCTTTGGTTCAATGTTGACAACTGGAGGAATATTAGGTGCAACATTCTCTGGTAAACTTGCTGATCTTGCTGGTCGGAGAAGGGTGAGTTCCAGAATAAGCCTTTAGTTTTCTCATATCCTGTTCTAATATTTCAATTCCAACTGGTTTTCTAATCTCAAATTTGTCTTCCCTTAAGCAGGCTATGTGGGCTTCAGATTCATTCTGCATCATAGGCTAGGTTGCTATAGCGTTATCAGAGGTTGCTTATCTGAACTTCTTTCTTCTTCTATAAAATCTGTGTGTCAGTTTAATAAAGGACGGTAATTGGTGTTAGTATGCTGCGTTCGTGCAATCTAATCCAGAACAAGATAAACACGGAAAAAATTAATTAATCATGTCAAGTAGTTTGGCATGAACATGACAAAAGCTCAAATTTTGAATCAGATCCATGCACAGTGTCAAATATTGCCAATCCTACTTTCTGTTTCTAATGAAATTCTGTTCAATGATTGGTGTGCTAGGGAGCTTGGTTTCTAGACCTTGGAAGGCTATTACTGGGGTTTGGTATTGGTCTTATCGCTTATTTGATCACATAAGATATGCATTTGACATTCTCTATGATCACTCTCTCCCCTAGTTGATATATAAATAATGGTTTATTTGCATTCAAAAACAGGCACCTGGCGTAGGAGCCGATACCAAAACATTGATTTTGGTGGGATTTAAAATCCCACTACAATGAATTCGATTGTCAAGTTCACCACTTA